AAAAAAAACCCAAAAAACCAAAGAGGTTGCAGATACAGCTAAAGGTGTAGCATGTAATTAACATGTGCAAAGCCCTGAGTTCCATTCCCAGCATGACAACCAATCAACACAGGCAAAGTGATAAAAAATACTTACCATTTATATAACAGTACAAATAACTTGGACAGAAATGCAAATGGGCTTATTGGAAAAAAAACCTATTAGTAGTAATCAAAGAAATATAAGCTAAAATATAAACTTTTTTTAACTTACCAATCAAGTTTTGTTTTTGTTTAAATCCTAAGTCCCAGTCTCATCAGAGACATGGGAAAGGTAGTTTCATGTGCTCCTGTAATGGAACAAAACAATTTTTACTGCCCTCAAAATTTGAACACATATGCATATATAGTGATATACGTATAAACATTTTACATGTTTAAATAGCTCCAAACAGAAATGTCAATGTTCAACAACTAGGTATTAACAAATTATATCTATGATTCTTTTTTTTTTGGAAGGTTGTGGGGCTTGAACTCTGGGCCTGCGTGCTGTCTTTTAGCTTTTCAGCTCAAGGCAACTGCTGTAGCACTTGAGCCACAGTGTCACTTCTGGTTTTCTAATGGTTAATTGGAGATAAGAATCTCAGGGTCTTTCCTGCCCAAGCTGGCTTTGAACTGCCAATCCTCAGATCTCAGCCTCCTGAGTAGATAGGATTACAGGTGTGAGCCACTGGTACGCAGCTTCTGTGCTTCTAATGACATGAAAATATGATAATGAAAGTAGGTGACAAAATAGTATCCAGTATAACTCTTATAATAATATAAATTTGCACATGCAGAGGAAGTGGACAGTTATCTCTGAATGTTAGCATTGTGGGGTTTTACTTCGTGCTTTTTCTCCTAGCCTCAGATTTACAAAAAAAATAATATGCATCTTTTTTTTTTAACTAAGAACATTTTTATTTTAAACTCAAGGTATTACTTTTCCTGTCAGTTTGGCAGATTGTTGTTTTTTTTTTTTTAAACAATGCATGGCATTGATAAAGATTTGAGGATAAACAGGCATACACAAATGAATACTGTAGTGGGTAGTAAAATTTATTGCTAACACCTGCAATGTAAAGTTGACAGCTAAAAGAAAAATTCTTAACAACTGAGAAAGCTGCCAGGTGCAGGTGGCTAACACCTGTAATCCTAGCTAGTCAGAAGGCTGAGGTCTGAGGATCATGGTTGAAAACTATTCTAGGCAAGAAAGTCCCTGAGCCTACCAAAAAGAACTGGAAATGGTGCTGTGGTCAAGTGTAGAGCACTAGCTTTGAGTAAAAAACCCAGGGACAGCGCCCAGGCCCTGAGTCCAAATCCTAGAAAAGACTAACTAAATGAATAATACAAACAGAAAGCAGAGTACTGGGTGTGTGGAACTTTGCCTACCATCCCAGGGTCCTGACTTCAATTCTCAGCCCCCGACTTAAACATTAAAAAGTATTTCAGATCTAGAAGTTAAGGGACTAGAGATAGATACAAGGGCATATTTAAACCTATATGTTCATTTTTTCCCTTTAGTATATGAGTAAATTTTCATCTTTATGAGCCAATAGTATCCAAAGCTGCAGGATTTTTGATATAATACATTACGAATCATATAATACTTAAAAACATATTAATTTTCTAGGGCATAACAAAGTACCACAACCTAGAGGTGGGAATTTAGCTCAGTGATTATAGTATAGTATAATATGCATGAGAAAGGCCATGGGTTTTATCCCCAACATTGGAAAACAAAAGAAAAAAAAACAAAGGAAAAAACCCCACAGACTGTGTTGAAACAACAGGAATTTATTCTTTCACAGTTCAGGCCGGAAGTCAAAATCAAGGCATTAGTAGGTTTCCTGTGGAGACTGAAGGATAATGGTGCCTCTCTCCCAGCTGCAGCTGGTGGCTGCCAATCCTTGGTGTTCCTTAGCTTGGAGCAGCTCCATCACTCAAATCTCTGCCTCCTTTGTCGCATGGCCTTCTTCCCTGTGTTTGTGGTTCCTGTCCTCTTCTCATAAGGACACCCGTCGTTGGATTTAGGGTCAGTCTAACCTAGTATGACAATTTAATGATAAACACCACAGGCCCTAAAGTTCAAAATAAGATCACATTCTGAGGTTCCTTGTTGACAAGGTTCTGGACACTACTGAACCCATGATGTGTATACAGCATGCATGTAACAAAAGACTGGCCATATGTACCAGCAGTGTTTATCTCTGGGTGGGTTTATAGATGATTTAAGTATTTTTGTGCTTTTCTGAATTTTAAAATAGCTTATGTACTGGAGTTGCATTTATAGAGAGACTAACTTCTAAATTTATTGTATAAGATGAATATTGTATAGTCAAAAATCACTCTTCCTTCTTGTAACTCACAAAATACCACATACATCATTTTATATTTACATAAAATATATTTTCTCAAAAACATCCAACATAGTCAATTCTTCCTCCAGCCTTAGAATAGACTAGTGTTTCTCTGGGTGGGTCCTAGATGAAGCAGTTGGCTTGTGTTTATGTGGTGTTGCTGTATTTTTTTTTTTTTGTACAAAATATAAAAAAAGGCTTTCTTAGCATAAATGTCTAGTTGAATGTATTCAATGAAATAAAATGTAATGTTTGACATGAAGTAGAGACTAGACTGAGAAATTGGGATTTAACAATTAGGGCTCCATAAAAGAATTTTACTTCTTTACAAACATTTATATTAGTGGGCCGAAAATTAAATTGAAAAGTTGGCAACACTGAAAATACTACTGTGCATATCATATCAGTCAATTCCTGTCTCTTAAATTCTTCTGGCAGATAATACACATAAACTGACATGTTGAATTAAAACCCCTTTCTACAACTATCTAAAGATAAAAATAAATTTAATTAAATAACACTCTATATGGGTATGGTGATACATGCCTGTTATCTCTGCTCTTAAGAATCTGAGGCAGGAGGAGCCTGAGTTTGAGCCCAGGATGGGATACAAGACCTTATTTCACAAACAAACAAAAAAACACCTTCTAAAATATACTTTCCTTTGAAAGATTTATGACTATGGTTTCATAAATGGAGTAAGAAGTTATATAAAAAATTCAGTTTTAGAAGTCTTGTCATGTACAGAGGCTGACATCATGGGTAGTCAAAGAATATGTTTAATAAAAAATAATTAAACTTCAATTTGCTCTATAGAACATCATAGAAAGTAATTTAATAAATTACAAATGACTTTAAAGACGTTTGCTCAACTACAGAAAGCAAATTCAGACTACACAAAACACAACTGGTAAATATTGCAAATGTCCAAAAGAAAAATTGGACTAAGACTTAAATCATGAAACCTGAACAAGGGCTATAAATACAAGGCAATAACAGCTATAAGTCTTTTAGTAACTACCAACACATACTTGGATATCCTTTCAACTCACTTTAGTTTTATGTAATTCTATTGATTCTTTTCTCTTTATAACCCTTAACTTTACACAACCTTATCTGCATGTTATTTTTCTTAGCTGATATACCTGAACAACTTTCCCCCCCATCAATACTACAAAGAAATGCCTTGAAACCCAAGAGAATGTTTAAGTTAACATTAGCCTTAATGCTTTGAAAACTGTAATTGCCTTATTACATATAAAGAGAATTACTAGGATGTTAACCAAATCCATTTGATTATAATTAGGAAAATACTTTATCTCATAGATTTGCTATAAATTAGACTTTAGTGATAAGATCTAGGATTTTTTTTCCTTTTTCTTTTTAATTGAGGGAAGAAAGGAATAAAAATCATATGGGTAAAACTAGAGGAAGAAAGGGAAATATGAATGGTGCTGAAATACTCCATTGGCAAACTAAGTTAACTGGGTTGAAAAACTTTGGCTATCTCATAGGTGTGTTCTAGTTAAATGAAAGTGCAATACTGCAAAGGGAAGATACTAGAATGTAATATATCATTTCCATGATGGATGATTACTACCCACTTCTCCTGGATGGGCATTATAGTGACTATTGCTAAGATGTTGCATAAAGGACTATCAATTCAAATTACTACTTTGGGAAAATACAAAAATCAATACAATCCCAATGGAACTTATATAATTTTGTAAATACATATAACACTGTATCTCTAATAAAGGGCTATTTATTTTACATATAGAAACAAAATTTACTGGTAAAGGTCTTGGAAAACCTAATACAATTGCTTAATTCATGACAAAACAGTTCTATCAAAACATATTGAAGGGTTTTTTGTTTTTCCTGTTTCCTAAAGGAGAGAATTGAGGTATCCCCCTCCTTGCAAACTTCATCACTGACTGATTTGGGTACCAGGAAAATGCAAAAATTCATCTCTCCTTCAATTGTAAATAATTTTTGTTTAATTCAGTTATGATTGCTTTCAATGAAGGTGAGTCTGGACCTCTACCTGTCAGAATAATAGCAGCTTTAGCAGGAAAAATTGTACTGAAATCAAATACCAGACAAATACCAGATTTTACATGGTAAAGGATTCTAAGAAATCGATCAGAAGCTTTGAAGTTCATTTTTGTAGTTTATAGGTATAGCTTTTTGAGATAATTCAAAGTGCATCTTCAAAATGGGTAGCGCAGTATATTAACTATAAACTGATAACCCAACACTGATTCAGGGCAACATTTAATCTGCTTACACCTAGAAACTCAAAATGAATTCAGACTATGCACACTACTTTACCACTATTATCAGTTATTTTGGAATATTTCCGTGACATTAAAACACAAAATAGAAATCTGCACAAATAAAGTGAACAAACAATTTCTTTTACATGAAGTATGCTGTGTTGAAAGTTTTTCTCAGTGGCATTTCATGAGTTTGCCCTTTCTGAACCCTGGAAAAAGACATTTCTCATCTGAGACATAATTATTTTTAATAGGAGGCCAAACTTTGAAAAGTTACATCTATGCCTATAGGGTGCCAAAGTTACATGACACAAGATTATTGTATGACTTAATTTTACTGAGTTCAAATGAAGCTCAGCAAAAAACAAGTCATATTCTTTGCCAGATTAATGATATATGTGTTTAAAAAACCCCTGAAAACAAGTACAGAATTAGAAATGAATGTAAACTTCCTAAACTAACTCAGCTGAGGTAACAGGTAGCCAGTTAAATTGGCTGATTGGGAAACTTATTTCTTCTTTAAAACATACTTGTACCTGAATTGGAAACATCAGCAGTGCATCACAACACTAGAGCATTTTCATGTAATTAAAGCAATGGATGGTGATGTAGATTCTACAGCTTTCATGACATTCATTAGCTGCCCAAATTATTGCTGAGTTTTGATCTGTAAATGATAGGTGTCAAGGAGGCTGTAAAACTATACTCAAAATTAAATCAGTAATATGCATAAAGTATTCTGTGTTCACTGCAAATATATTAAATATACAACTCTTATTGAGCATAATTTTCATAAAATTAACCCCCAACAAAATTATAATGCCTTTTGTTGTAATTTTATACCATTATGTATTTGATAGTACATACGAGTTCAGAAACTTATGAATCTTAAGAAATATTACATGCAAAATGTCTCTGAAAGCAGTTTGCACTTCTAAACAAATAACTGAAATGTTCCATCAGTAACTTATTGATGCACTCAACACTGGGATATTTACAATTAATAATTAAAGAAAAATCTGAAAATCAGTTCATAATTTAAGTGCAGTCTGGAAATCAGTCTTCATTACTAGAATCGGAATCCTCCGAGGACGATGATGTACTATCCGACCCTGATGAAGCATCTGCTTTCTCTGAACCCTCATCTGTGCTGTTTTCATTGAGAGGACTAGGTTCAGGTCCCCCCTTGCCTTCCTGATCTTTAACTCTGGAATCTTCTTCTTTTTCTTCTACAGACTTAGACAAGCCTAAGTCACTGTTTTTGTTTTTCTGTACATCAAAATTATTAGACTGGGACAAGGTTGGAATATGAAGATTAAGGCCTGGAGTGAGAAGCATCCCTGGATAAAGTATATTAGATAGTAATAGTGGGTTAAGAGCTAAAGGGTTGGTAGCTGCAGCTGTATTTAATGCAGCAGTAGAGGAAGTTGAAGGAGAACTTGACACAGAGTTTTCTCCACCATTCTCTGGATTTTGGCTCTCTGTCCTTTCTTTTTTTAATTCTAGCTCCTTGGAAACATTTCCCTTTTTTTCTTCTGCCCCAGATTCTGCAGATTTTGTCAGGAGTCCTCCCATGCCCAACAGATTTGGTAATCCAGCCATTCCTGACAGCAGCATGGGGAACATAGCAGCCATGTTTTTACTATCTCCTCCTGAAGAAAGGCCAGCAGGCATTCCCATAAGCCCAGCAGTAACTTGCAGTGACTGCAAGTTTTGCAGGTTTTGTTGTAAGGCCTGAAGAGTTGTTAGATCCACACCTGGGAGTAATCCATTGGTTAACAAAGGATTGCCTGTAACATTGGTGGCAGATACAGCTGCTGCTGCTGCTGCTGCTGCTGCGGTGGCCTTTGCAATTCCACTTTTAGGTCGTCTCCCTCGCCGGCTCACTTCCTCTCTTACAACAGGACCGGTGAGAATGCGTTCATACATACTTTCTGGAAGAAACCCCTAGAGGAAAGAAAAAAAAATACACTTATGCATACATACAAATATATTCATTTTTATTATCTACATGAAAATAAAATCAATATTAGCTTACTGTACCATAAGCCTATTAAAACACATAATTATTTGTAAACATATTCTGTATATCAAATAATTACGGAAGAGATAACTTTATTTCTTTTTTTCCGGCCAGTCATGGGCCTGAACTCTGGGCTTGAGCACTGTCCCGCAGCTCTTCAGCTCAAGGATAGCGCTCTACCACTTGAACCACAGCACCACTGTTTATGTGGTACTGAGGAATCAAACCCAGGGCCTCATGCATGCAAGACAAGCACTCTACCACTAAGCCACCTTCCCAGCTCATAGCTTAATTTCTATTCTACATTGTTACTTGAAACAGTTCATCTACCTCCCATTTCTCATAGGAAAAGATAGTAGAGAGAGAGGCCTTTAGTCTCTTCCATGTTTTATATCACCATTTGTTACAGAAGACAAAAGAAGTGGCCCCTTTAATCTGAAAAAATAGTTTAAAAAAATCATTGAAAGTAAGACTAAAATGGATTCAAAGTTGAAAAAGAGCTGGGTGCCGGTTGTTCAGGCCTGTAATCCTAGCTACTCAGGAGGTTGAGATCTGAGGATCATGGTTCAAAGCCAGCCCGGGCAGATCTGTAAGAGTCTAATCTCCAATTAACCACCAGAAAACTCAAAGTGGCATTGTGGCTCAAATGGTACAGCAATCACCTTGAGCTGAAGAGCTCAGAGTTTAAGCCCCATGACCACCACCACCAACAACAAAAAAGTTGTCTTCTCATTTTTTGCTACTATACCATGATATACCATAAGTATTAATTTTTAAAATGATAAAAAGTAGTATTTGTGAAATACTCACAGATTGTCTAACAACATCTCCCCATTCAGGAGCTACTCCATATTCTGAATTTTCTTTTAAGAATCTACATAAATCTTTCAAAGGGGGAGCAAATGCACCTCCAACCTAAAAAAAAAAAAGAGATTTAACGTATTATTCAATGTGAAATTATTTTTATTCTGTGCTGTAACAGTTTAAAGTGCATATTTTACAAGTACCTTCAGCAATATTTAAATTATGTTGGAAAAGACCATTACAATCCATATAGACTACTGGCATAAGATAAAAATATATGTTGTGTAAATTTTTTTTTTGGGGGGGGTCCAGTCGTGGGGCCGGAACTCTGGGCCTGGGCACTGTCCCTCAGCTCTTCAGCTCAAGGCTATCGCTCTACCAGTTGAGCCACAGCACCACTTCTGGCTTTTTTCTTTTTTGCTTATGTGGTGCTGAGGAATCAAACCCAGGGCCTCATGCATGCAAGGCAAGCGCTCTACCACTGAGCTACCTTCCCAGCCCCTGTTGTGTAAATTTTTAAGTAAATGTTTTAAGTAGAATAAGTTGACCACTAAGATGAAGAACTATCACTTATTTTGCTGAGTGGGCAAGAGAACCTAATTAAGAGTGTGCCATTTAAAGTCAGATTAACTAGCTATGGAAATATGAATAAATCAAAGCCTTGAGCTATCACTTGGCTCATTCACTCCCAGCTGGTGCTCTATTCCACTTCCAGCTTTTCTGCCCAGGCTGACTCAAGCATCAAGTAGCTAGGATCACAGGCATGAGCTGCTGGCACTCAGCTATGTCCTGTTAAATTGATTTAGACATGTAGGCATTATACTACCTATTAGTGTTATCCGATATTCCTTGTATTTCTTACTTGGTCTTGCCAATTTCTATTAGACTCTGCTTTTTATTAAGCTTCAGTTTCAAATTGGTAGGTTGATTATTTTAGCTAGTAACTCATCAATCAAAGCCTGTATCTTAGAGACTCAAGACAAAACTTCTACAAATCAAAGAAAATGAGCAAGACTCTGAGAAAATAAAAAGAAAAAATAAAATTTAGAATAAATGGAACAAGAAAGCCCCAAACTGTTCCATTTTCTTAAAACTGGCTAAGACAAATTCAATCCTCATATTAATAATATGAGTTTTGGGTATAAAATGAAGTGCAAAGACTGTAACACAAGAATGTTAGTAAATTCTTTTTTAGTACTCCTGCTTTCACTTTGAAATACTAATAAGAGCTGAATAAACAATATCTATAAAACTATAAGAAATAAGTTAACTTAAAGGAGCTGATGTAGGAAACTATTTTAAAATATTACTTTAAAAAGTTTTTTTTTCTAATTCCAATGCTTCTAATGAGAAACAGGGAAACAGGGGAAAAAGTAATGTATTTTTGTCCTAGCCATGAGAGCATTAAGTAGAGAGCCAAACAGAACCAGGGAATAAATACAATTAATGTAAAATAACCAAGCCTGTGTGGGGAGGATCTCAATGGGAAATATGCTGTTCTTTATCCTGAAGCCATCTTTCCTTTCTTTAATTTTGTTGCTTGCTTATCAGAATAAACTTATCAAAAGTACATTTTCAAAAGTATAATCACTAAGAAACTAAACCTCACAAAAATCAATAACTCAATAAACAGGCAAAAGAGCTAAATAGAGACTTCTAAAAACTGAAAATGGCCAATACATCCCTATCAATAAAGGAAATGTAAATCAAAACAACACTGAGATTCAATCTCATTCCAGTAAGATTGGCCAATATCAAGAATACAAATAATAACTAGTGCTGGTGGTTATACAGAGAAAAATGAATCCTATTATATTGTTGATGGGAATGTAAACTTCTCTGGAAAGTGGCTTGGAGATTCCTCAAGGAAATAAACATAGGCAGGGCACTGGTGGCTCTTGCCTATCCTCCTAGCTACTCAGGATGCTGAGATCTGAGGATCTGTTTGAAGCCAGTCTGGGCAGAAAAAGTTCCAGTGAGACTCTTATCTCCAATTAACCACTCAAAACCTGGAAGTTGTGCTGTGACTCAAAGAACACTAGAGCTCAGGTATAGTGCCCAGGTCCTGAGTTCAAGCCCCAAGACTGACTAAAAAAAGAAAGAAAATAAACAAGTGATACTACCCTAGGGCATTTACCCAGAATATTACGTATCACAAGTCGGAACACAGTCAACACACACATACTGCACTATTCATGATAGCCAAGTTAACGAAACAGCCCAAACCTTGAGGGTAGAGATGGGAGGGGGATTTGGTAGAGAACAAAGGAAGGCATGACCTTGATCAAAATACATTCTAGTTAAAACTTGCCAAACAAAATTGTAACCTCTTCAAAAAGCTACTTAATAATAATTTTTGGTCAGTTTTTAAAAGTATATTACAAGTCTTCTATCATTTACTTGATGAGTTCAGAAGAGATGTGAATTGATACATCAAATTATTTGATGAATCAAATACTAAGCCATATTTGATTCAGAATAGGCTTTAGAAAGACCTCAATCAGTAAAACAAAGGAAGAAGCACAGGAGTACTATTAATATAAACAGTACTTTTGTTTAGATATTTTATTTCCATCTAGCAGAAAATTATGTACTATACAGTTTTTGGTAAACAAAACACATTAAGACCATATGACATAATATTGTGCCAGTAAAATATAATTTATGCATGGGAATGGTATCCCCTTAAATCAGACTTCCTTTGCACTGTAGATATTTTGGATTGGTAGTGTAGGGGCCATCTTAAATACTGTAGAAAGTTTGGCAGTATCTGTGGCCTCTACTCAAAGTGCAAGTGGTATTCTCCTGGTGTCCACCGACTCTCTGTACTTGCTGGAAACCAAAGTCTTCAGGCATAATTCAAAACTGCAAAGGGAAAACTGGACCTATATAGAATTGCTGCCTTAGATGTAGGACCCTTGTGCAGTTCACAACTTTTGGCAATAGCATTACTTGGGCAGTAATGTTGACTGACCTGCCTATTTCATTTACTAGCTTAGCCAATAGAATAGAATTTTAAATCACACTACAGAAAATTATCCTGCAAAGCTAGGTGCCACTGGTGCATGCCTATAATCCTAGTTACTCAGGAGGCTGATATCTGAGGACTGCTGTTTGAAGTTAGCCCAGGCAGAAAAGTCCTTGAGACTCTTTTTTTTTTTTGGAGTCTGGTCGTGGGGCCAGAACTCTGGGCCTGGGCACTGTCCCTGAGCTCTTCAGCTCAAGGCTAGCGCTCTACCATTTGAGCCACAGCGCCACTTCCGGCTTTGTTCTTTCTGCTTATGTGGTGCTGAGGAATCGAACCCAGGGCCTCACTGAGCCACCTTCCCAGCCCTCCTTGAGACTCTTATCTCCAATTAACTACCAAAAATCTGGAAGTAGAGGGGTGTCTCAAGTGATAGAATGCTATCTTTGAGTAAGAAAATCTCAGTAACAGTGTGCGGGGCCCTGAGCTCAAGTCTGAGGACTGGCACACACACATCTTTCTTCACCTATTTGTTAGGTTCAACCCCCTTTCTGATTTGTTAGATAATAATGCAAAGTGAAACTGAGTTCTAGATATTAACAAAAAGTACATAAATACCTTTCTGGCATTTCTTCTGTTAATCAGCTGAACACGTTCTTCTCCAGTAAGGCTATTAATATCAAGTTTATTGGGATTTCTACAACGATGCCTTTTTTGTTTAGGCCTTCCCTCATGTAGTTGCATTTTCTAAAGTATATGGACAAAGAAACAGGTTTAAATTTTTTGCTTATGTAAAACTATTAAAACATCACATGTAAGTTGTTTCAAGTAACTTAATTCAATATGATGAATAGTCATTATCCCTTAGTATTCAACCTTTAAAAAATTAAAAAAAAATTATGCTAGGCTCCAGTAGCTCACTCCTGTAATTCTAGCTATTCAGGAGGCTAAGATCAGGGGATAGCCATTCAAAGCCAGTCTGTGCAGATAAAACTGACAGTCTCCAATTAACCAGCAAAATGGTGGAAGTAAAGATATGGAGCAAGTGATAGAGTGAAAAAGCCAAGTGAGAGTGAGGGAATGAGTTCAAACTCCAGTACCTGTACAAAAAAAAATATATATACAGTACACACACACATACACACACACTTAATTTTTAACAAAAAGCATTACATGAGCTTTTCTCCAAATTATATATTTGAAAAATTACTCAGGATCACTAACTATGGTCTGCTATGAAAGCAAGATCCTTCATATAATGTCTGAGATCTAAGAAATCCCTAGAAAAGGAGATGTTATCTTATTACTACTATTATTTATTTTTATTTATTGCAGTACTGAGGAATGAACTCAAGAACCTCAGATTTACAGGCAATCTACCACTTGAACAAATACTCCAGTTCTTTTTTTTTTTTTAAATTTTGCCAGTACTAGGTCTTGAACTCAGAACCTGGGTGTTCTCCCTGAACTTTTTTAGCTCAAGGCTAGTGCTCGCTCTATCACTTGAACCACAGTACCACTTCCAACTTTTTTTTGGGTAATTTATTGGAGATAAAAGTCTCCACTGATCTTTTGAAACTCAATCCTCAGAGCTCAGCCTGCTGAGTAGCTAGGATTACAGGCGTGAACACCAGTGCCTGGCTACACTGAGTATTTTTGAGATCTGGTCTTGCTTTATGACCAGGCCTGTCTAGACTTCAATCATTCTACTTGTGCTTCCTTGTGTTGCTGAGGATGACAGGGACATACCATTGTGCTTCCCCTGTAGGTGGGATAAAAGGCATGTGTCACTATTTCTTGCCATTAGTTGAGATGTAGCCTTGTAAACTTTTATGACCTAGCTGGTCTTGAACTGCTGTTATTTCTTGATTTCTGCTTCGCAGGTAGCTAAGATTCAAGGCTTGAGCCATCACATCTAGTATACTTTGCAACAAATGCTAACTTTTAAATGGGTTTTTCAAGTCCTAATAAACTAACCTAATATACTAAATTGTTTATTTGTACTGAAATGATGGATAACAAAAACTTGAAAAATGTCTTTTACAGCCAGTTATAGGGGGTGCATACCTGTAATCCCAGTGCTCAACAGGCTAAGACAGCCTTGGTTATATAGTGAGACCCTGGTTCAACAACAACACAAAAATTCCTTTTGTAGTACTAAGAGGAAAGTTTGAGAACTCCTCACAGACTACAGTATAAATGGCATAAGAGCAAGGACTTAAAGCTGCTCACTACTCTAGCTTCAGCCTCTAAATCATATGGCTTTGGATTATTAAACTGTCAATTGTTTCAATTTCATTATCTATATAACAGTTCTAACAGTACCATCCTAATAAAGCTCTTAGCAAATGAGATAATGGATGTGAACTGTTAAGAAACAGTGACAGGTGTATACATTTTTATTTAGCATTTTCTATGATTATTATTTGAAAATAAATGCCTTCAGATAAAACCTTTGAAATTTTGTCCTCAACCAACATTGGCTCTAACATTATATTCTATGTTATCAATAAATCTTACATTAAATAATTAATTCTGAATTCACTTCCCCAACACGCACTGCTAGGGCTTGCACATGGCTAAGCAAATGCTCTACCAATTGAGTTATAGTCCTAGCCCTATTAAAAGACAGAATGGAAAATGCTACAATGTATCATAGGAAAGATGGTAACTATATTTTAATGCTTACTTTCCTAGTCTTAGGAAAAATGCAAATAGAAGATAAGCGGATGAGAATTTATGCTTTGTCATTATACATTTGACAGACTATTGAAACAAAATATACAAAGCTTTTTTAAGGCATAGCTTACAGGAATAAAAGCTCCTAAATCTTCCACATAACCTGGGTGCTCTTTAAGCCATTTTTCCAAATCCTTTCTCTTCGGTGCATCATCTCCTGCAAGTCTTGTTCCATCTTTAAGATTAATAACGGGAACTGGACTTTCTGTATCTGGAATTCTTTGAGGTTGAGTATAGGATAGGGCTGGATTTAGTCCTGGGGAAATCTGTGAGGTGGTTAAGCTTAAAGTAACCTGTACAAAAAGAGCAAATGATATTCTTATTTCCATGCTTTATCATTTCAATTTTAGTTCAATAGAGTGATCCTGTAAAAAAATTTAAGTGTGACATGATTGTTTACCATTTAATAATACGGTAGCAGTATTTCAATAGCAATGGCCACAGATTTACATGATTTTTAACAGCTATGTAGCATTTCATTACTTGGGAATAATCAACTTGTTTAACCAACCTTCCTAATAAAAAACTTTATACAGCTGGGTGCCAGTGGCTCGTGCCTGTAAACGTAGCTACTCAGGGGGCTGAGATCTGAAGATTGGCAGTTCAAAGCCAGCCCAGGCAGGAAAGTCTGTGAGACTTTTATCTCCAAAAAACCACCAGAAAACTGGAAGTGGTGCTGTAGCTCAAGTGGGAGAGTGCTAGCCTTGAGCTGAAGAGAGCTCATGGACAGTGCCCAGGCCCAGAGTTCAAACCCCATGGCTGACAAAAACAAACAAACAAACAAAAAAAAACAAAGAAAAAAAAACTTTATGTGTGTGTACATATCATGTAATATTCAGCTAAACTTCAGCCTGGGCGCTGTTCCTGAGCCTTTTGTGCTCAAGGCTAGTGCTCTACCAGTTGAGCCACAGTGCTACTTCTAGTTTTTGAGTGGTTAACTGAAGATAAGAGTCTCACAGGGACTTTTGTGCCAGTGCTGGCTTCGGTGATCCTTAGATCTCAGCCTACTGAGTAGCTAGAATTACAGGAATGAGCCACTGGTGCACAATTCATTGCTCTTCTTAAAACCCTAAACACCTTGAGCAAAAGAAACTCAGGGACAATGACCAGGCCTTGAGTTCAAGCCACAAGTCTGACACATGAACACACACACACACACACCCCAGGCCTTGAGTTCAAGCCCCAAGACTGGCACATGAACACACACACACACACACACACACACACACACACACACACCAGGCCTTGAGAGTTCAAGCTCCAAGACGGGCACATGAACACACACACACACACACACACACACACACACACACACACACACGTATGATTATTTGCTAGAATTGAATTTGAGACTGGGGATCAGTAATTTTTAAGTATTACTTACATGATTAGGTGGTTTATTCTTGTTAAAAAACATGATGTCGACACCTTCTACATTCTTCCTCCTTCCTCGTCTTTTCTTGACCAGAGGCTGGTTATCTAGTATTACTCCATTGGCACCAGATGTTGACTGAATGGAGGTACCTAATCAAATATTTTAAAATAAGGATTAAAGTTTATTCTTCAGCAAACATTGCTAGGCTATGCCATCCTTAAGCTACTATTTCAGGTATTTTCTGAAATGAGCTGCTTAGATTTTTCCTTACTTATAAGCTATGAAATTTTTCTTTCCTTCATCAAAATACATCATACATGTTATCTTTACCCAACACTTTCGGACAAATTCAAGCATTAATGGCTTAAGAATAAAAATGAACATGTGAAAGAAAAGGAAGAATGTCAATGTAGGCCAAATCTAGATTGTGAACACCTAAGTTTTATTTTTTATTTTTTATTGTTAATGGACCTTGAATCAGGGCATGGGTGCTAACCCTGAGCTTTTGTGCTCAAGGCTATCACTCTATCATGCTGAGCCACAGCTCAATGATTTTTTGGCAGTTGATTAGAGATTAGAGTCTCATGGACTTTCCTGCCCAGGCTGGCTCTGAACTGTGAGCCATAGATCTCAGCCTCCTGAGCAGTTAGAATTATGAGCCACCAGTGTCCAGTTTAATTTTTAATATCTGCTTTAATTTTTAATAACAGAAAATGGAATCAGTTATCAATTCAAGTTAACACCTATAATAAAGCCTTATTTTCCCAAATTATAGGAATTCCCCATAAAATGCACATACACAGTAGGCAATTTGAAATGTTTCTAAGAATTTCATGGCAAATCAGACTAAGTTTTTCATTTTATGGATAAAGTATAAAGGAAATGTAATTCATTTATCTGCTTTAATTGAAAACCAGCATTTTGAGGAGAGCATGTTATGTAGTGGTCCACATGGTGAGACCCAGTTAAGGTTGAACATCTCTCTCAATAATTTTAGAAGGACATAAAGAATAATTAGACAAAAAACATGAACAATGCTGAACATATTTTTTATGCCTCCAGAGACACAGCACAAATTTGTTATTCAGTAAATATTTGTTGATTCAAATCAATTCATGTTTAGAAGAAATATAGTGCCAAGGGAAGATATGTTCTTTGCTTTTAAAATGTCAAGTTTATTATGTAGCCTTAAGACAAAGTTAATTCTGTACTGTTTTCAAAGGCAGAATGTCAAATGTAGACAATCACATACAGCATGAAAAATTTACTTCCAAACAAAAAAATATCTACCAAACAATGAAAAGGGATATTTGAAATAGGAACTTTGTTCCTATTAGAATTGCATGAAGATGACAGATGGTTTTGTGTGTGTGTGTGTGTGTGTGTGTGTGTGGTGTGTGTGGTAGTACTGTACTGGGGTTTGAAAAAATAGCAAACTTGATGTTGCTATTACTGGCAGGCAGGCAGGCAGGCAATCTATCACTTGTGTCATGCCACCAGTCTTTTTTATGTTTTAGTTATTTTTCAGATGTGCTTTATTTGGGGCCCTAGAACCATGATCCTCCTATCTTTGGCATTCTGTATGGCTGGGACCACAGGCGCATACCACCAAGCAGCTTGGCTTGTTGGCTGAGAAGTGGGGGGAGGGTCTAAACGTATTGGCTGAGAAGGAGAGTCTAATTTTTTGCTCAGATTATTTTTGCAACTCCATCGTCCTGGATCACTGCCTCTTGAGTAGTCATAACTAATTCCTATATCCTATAGTTTGCTGAAATATATTACTTTTGTTTTCATACCTTTTTGTGGGGGAAGGGGTAGTAATGGGCTTTGAATTAAGGGTGTTGTTCTTACTTAGGAGGTACTCTACTATTTAAGCCACATCCCTAGTCTTTTTGCTTTTGTTATTTGGTGAGCAAGATCTTGTTTTTTGCCTGGTGGTCTGGATTGTTAATCCTATTTATACTTACTCCTACATAGCTGTGATGAAGGTAAGCATCATTAGCCCAGCTTTTGATTAACTGAGAAGGGATTTCACATACTTTTTGCCCAGGCTGGCCTTGAACCTCAATCGTTTGGAATTCAGTTTCTCAAGTAACTAGGATTATAGGCGTGAGGCACTATATCTGGAATGGAGTACACTATTTCTAAAGTTATTCTGTACTTCCAATTACATAGAAACCAGTCACAACTGGCTTATGATTTAGGTGTTTGCTTTTTTAAAAAATTATTTATTCATGAAAGGGATATTCTTTTTTGTTGTTGTTGTTGGTGTCGGTCGTCGTCGCAGGGCTTGAACTCTGGGCCTGGGCGCTGTCTCTCAGCTCTTCAGCTCAAGGCTAGTGCTCTACTACTTGAGCCACAGAGCCACTTCCAGCGTTTTCTGCTTATGTGGTGCTGAGGAATGGAACCGAGGGCCTCATGCATGCAAGGCAAGCACTCTACCAATGAGCCACCTTCCCAGCCCTAGGTGTTTGCTTTTAAATTCAAATACTTTCATGTTGAAATGCTATCTGAACTTTCTATATGTAAAAGATACTTGATAAAAAGATGTCACCACCTAAGTATTCAAGCCCTCCAAACCAAACTGCCCATCATAAGATTTTGAGGTTCCAATAAATATTTATTAATATTTGAAATGTTCTTAATTATGAACTTAAAGAGAAGCCTCAATATTAGCTGGCTCAAGCTGGGTGCTGGTGTCTCATGCCTATAATCCTAGCTATTCAGCGGGCTGAGATCTGAGGATCACCATTTGAAAAATTCCGGAAAAAAAGCCAATCAGAAAACAGTGGTCCTATAGCTCAAGTGGTAGAGCGCTAGCCTTGAGCTGAAGAGCTTAGGGACAGCGCCCAGGCCCAGAATTCAAGCCCCACGACTACCACCACCACCATCACCAACAAATTAGCTGGCTCACACCTATAATCCTTGCTATTCAAAAGATTGGGATCTATAGAACTGTAGTTCAAGACCCTGGGCATATGCTAGGGGTTGAATTCACTACTAAGAGTGCTAGCACTAGCAAGTACAACGCTCTCAGTTCAAACCTCAGTACAAAAATAAAAAAGTCAGACACTGGGGATTCAAATTTGTAACCCTAGCTACTTAGGAAATTGAGGTCTGAGGATGATGGGTAGAAGTCAGGCCAGGCAGACAAATATGAGAGACTCTTATCTCCAATTTACCAGCAAAATCCTGAAAGTAGAGCTGTGGCTCAAGGGTAGAGTTTAGCCTTGAGCAAAAAAGTTAAGTAAGAGCATGAACCCCTGAGTTCAAGCCCAACATTTTACACACGCACACACACACACACACACACAAATGTGCGCGAACACATGCACACGCAGTTTCATTAGTAAATAGAAATAAATGAATTTTAACCAATGTATATAGAGCAGGATTTAGAACATAGAGAAGTACTTCACAATAAGACAATTAGCATATTCACCTGACAGAGGCATAGATTTTGGAAAATTGATCAGGCTTGTCTCTGATGCACTTTGAAGCTCCCGAAGTCGGGTGAGGTACTGTTGTTGCCCCAGAGCACCATCTTCACTATCAAATGGTCTTTTCTGAGCAAGCCCCTGCTTCTGAAATGTCAACTTCAAACCACCTTCCTATTCAAAAGATCATTAAGGCAAAAAATGTTAACAGTAACTTGTGCAGGACACTGAGAGAATTTTTCCACTTAGAAATGGTGAAGTAAAATCCCCTAAAATATTAATGAAGTTCTTTTTCTTGTTCATAAATCAAGAGAATAAAAGACTTAGTCAATATCTATAGTGTATACTAAACATTTAGCTTTAATTAAAAAAGTTCTAGGTACCATCTACCCTTTTCTGAGTAAAGTTTTCATAGGACTATTGCATTGTAACATTTTCAGCTTCAGATGTATATCTCTAGGTACATTATTCATATGGTATTTTAAAGGATACTATCTACATTTTAGATACTAATTAACCTTCAACGATCATATTAAGATAAACAGTAGAGCATGCTAAGTGTTTCAAAGAGAAAGTACACTGACATACCATATAAATGTCAAATACAAGAATGAAAACAGTAAGAAATTGTCACACTTTTTAAGAAAGCAGCTTGGTCAGCAGAAGAACAATTTTCAGAAATGTAAGGAGAGAAACAGTTAATGATGATTCCTCTAGTAGAATATTCAAATGTAATAACCTGGATATCAAAAAAAAAATTAATGCCAATACCAGGAGACAAGTATGTGAAGGAAGAAGAATAAGAGCAGGCAGCCATTTGCAGGAAAAGCATGCTGCACACCGCAATCGCAATCAGGCCCTAGGGCAATAAAAATACACATACGTCTTTGATTTTCACTGTAAACTCCTTTTCTCGTACATGCTTCTTCACCTTTGACATTTGTGTTGACTGGTCTTGTTCTTCTTTGACACCAGCACCTGGGGGAGTGGGAACACTGGGCTCACTATATTCTGTAGCTGCTCCAGGGCTGTCCAGCAGTTTTGTGGTATAGAAAGAAGCCACTGTGTTAGCATCATAACTTCTTCTAGCTGAAGGCCACTTCCCTTTAAGAACTGTTTGACAAATACTGTCCAACCGGTTGATCATCACCCGATCCTAGAAAAGCAAGCAATACCAAAGTATAGTTTTAATAATAAGGCCATACTTTTGGACATTATTTGCCAAGAGCCTTTGAACCTGGTTGAACAGTGTATAAAATCTCTCACATAGATTATAACACAGTCTCTCACTATAATTTTTTATTCAAATATAAATTCCTGTTGAATTTGGAAAATATAACATACAGATATTTTTTAAAATTTGCTTTTAGAATAAAATAGAGGTTCTTCATCTTAAGACCACAATACAAAAATATATGACAAGAACACAGTCTCTTCTATATTTAATATGCCAACCTCATTTCTAAAGATAAGTGTATTAGCATTAATATATTAGCATTAATATACTAGTTTAGTCACATAGTTGGAGAACTGGATTAATTCTTAGTTGTTCCTACCACTGAATGTACAGGTACTTAAATGGGTTTTTGGTTTTGTTTTTGGTAGATCACAGCTAGCTAACCTAAATTTCTTCGGGAAGACTGAATTGAAAGTACCTATTTCATATAGAAATACTTGAACATTAACTTGAATATAAAGATTTATTTTTTATTTGAAACAATTTAAGCTTATACATTTAAGTACAACTAATTCAATGGACAGTAATAGTTTATACACTTATACTGCTAGCACCAATACATCAGACTACATTCTACTATTTTTCCCCATAAAAGAATATCTACCACCAAATTATACACACACACACACACACACACACACACACACACACACACACACACGCACACGCACTAAAAATGATGAGTCCCAACAACCGATTATTCTTTCACCTTTGGCCAATATGAGGCTGCCAGCATGTATCCACCTTGTAAGAGGTAAGCAGACTCTGGAGTCCCGTTGTTAGCTTGGAAACTATCCTGGGTCTCATCCTGTGTAGTGCTCAGTGATGCAACACTTTCTTCATCATAAGCTTTCATGTGAGGAGTACCTTCTGCTAAGAACAATTAGAACCAGTTTTAAAAGACCACATAACAATTTTTTTTTTTTTGTCGGTCGTTGGGCTTGAACTCTGGGCCTGGGCGCTGTCCCTCAGCTCTTCAGCTCAAGGCGAGCGCTCTACCACTTGAGCTACAGCGCCACTTCCGGTTTTCTGGTGGTTTATTGGAGATAGGAGTCTCACAGTCTCTCCTGCCTGGGCTGGCTTTGAACTGCGATCCTCAGATCTCAGCCTCCTGAGTAGCTAGGATTACAGGCGTGAGCCACCAGCGCCCGGCGCCACATAACAATTTATATACACTTCAAATTTATTTGGAAATACATGTTAATGAAAAATTTCACCTAGAATACAATAAAGTAACCATTATTTTATTTTTTAAATTTTACTTATTTATTTTTGTCGGTTGTGGGGCTTGAATTCTGGGCTTGGGTGCTGTCCTTGTGCTCTTCAGCTCAAGGCAAGCACTCTATCGCTTGAGCCACAGCGCCACTTCCGGTTTTCTAGTGGTTTATTGGAGATAAGAGTCTCCCGGACTTTCCTGCCCGGACTGGCATTGAACCGTGATCCTCAGATCTCAGCCTCCTGAACAGCTAGGATTACAGGTGTGAGCCACCGGCGCCCGGCTAGTAACCATTATTTTAAAATGAATCCTAGTTGGTACAATTTATCTGAATTAGGAGTAATGTAATACCTGATAGAAGACCATAATACTCTTCATGAAGTAGCTCTTAGAAATGGGCATGTTTTTACTTTGTTCATGTAATTGTAACCCCTCTGTACAGTATTTTCACAATTAAAAAAAAAAGAAAAAAAAAAGAAATGGGCATGTTTATATAGGATGTGGTGGCTCAAATCCATAATCTCAACTAGTAGGAGTTGGAGATTAGGAAGATCACAGCTCAAAGCCACCCCAGGCAAGAAAGATAGCTCAAGTCCTTGCCCAGGCAAAAGCTGGGCTGGGCAAGGTAGTATAACATTGGTCATCCCAGATACATAGAAAATATGAATAAGTAAGAAGAAAGCAATTGAGGCAAGCTGGGCATGAACACAGGACGCTATCCACAAAATAAAAGCAAAAAGAACATGGTTCACGTGGGAGTGTGTTAGAAAGAACAAGATCCTTCACCCTGTCCCGGAATCATAAAAAAATAAAACTGGACAACCCTGAAAGTAATGACTTGGGAGTTGTTACAAGAGTTTCTGGTTCTTATGGGTCATGATGCACCATGCTTGAGGCTTACTTTATTTCCTTATTCCTGAATTGTTGGCTTACTGTAATAATACTTTGGAGAAGACAATTTAACATACTCTGTGATAAGCTATGCAAGTTCAATCATCTCTTCTTTGAGAAGACAGGTATCAGGTATGGCCTACGTTTCTCTTCCTTATCTATTTAAGAGTCCTGGCAATAACAATATTATCTTTTTTGTCACCTGCAGGGATTGAATTCAGGGCCTGGGTAGTGTCCCTGAGTCTGTCTTCAAGGCTAGTGCTCTACCACTCTGCCACAGTACCACTTATGGTTTTTGAGTGGTTAATTAGAAATAAGAGTCTCACAGGATTTTTCTGCCCAGGCTAGTTTTGAACCTTGATCCTCTGAGTAGTTAGGATTGTAAGTGTGACTTACCAATGCCTAGCAACAATATTATCTTTTATTTGTTCACTAATCAACTTTTTCCAAGGAAAAACAGTACTAGATTTAATACAACCATAAAGAAATAAATCTGTTGAATAAAATTTGAAATTATATTTGGGATTCGACTTATATATTTTGTAAAGCATAGGACCAGAGAATATGTAATTCTAGTTTTTTTTTTTCTGCCGTGGGGCTTGAACTCTGGGCATGGGCACTGTCCCTGTGCTCTTCAGCTCAAGGTGAGCACTCTACCTCTAGAGCTACAGCGCCACTTCCGGTTTTCTAGTGGTTTATTGGAGATAAAGAGTCTCACAGACTTTTCTGCCTGGGCTGGCTTTGAACCGTGATCGTTAGATCTCAGCCTCCTGAGTAGCTAGGGTTACAGGCATGAGTCACTGGTGCCCAGCTGCTAGTATCAATAGTTCTTTGCTAAAATTTAAATTAACAGTTTTAAGCATGTGTAAGTTATATGAATCAAGTTCTTTTTACTTTCACTTAAAAAGCTGTCATAAAAATAGCAAATTACTTTATGCTTATACCTCGCTTTTGGACTTCCTCTTCTTCACTGTCACTTTCTTCTGATGAAGAAGAAGAAGATGATGACGATGATGATGAGGAGGAGGAAGATGAAGATGCTGAAGAACAAGATGAGGATGAAGAAGAACTAGAGCCTGATCGAGAATGGGAACAAGAAGAGGAGGAAGACGAAGAAGATGATGATCTGGAAGAACAGGATGATCTCTCAGACTCAGAGTCAGAATCAGAACTAGACTCTGATCCTCTTTTGTGGATTCTCTGTTTCTTAGAAGCTGGGTTTGGAGTAAGAGGTTCTGTTCTGGCTGAAACCATGCGTCTGTCTGTTTCACCTTTTCCACCAGATTTCTGGTCTTCAGCAGCCTGTGACAAAATTCCATTCTTTGGACTTACAGGCTCAGACTTTATTATTGTCCTGGTATCCACAGAAGACATAGATTCTTCTTCAGAAGAAGGAGGCTCTTCTTTAACGTTTTCATTTTTCACTTTTATATCCTCTAGAATACCTTTAGCATCTAGGAGCCTAGGCAGAGAGGTAAGAGAAGAAGCAGAAAGTGCTACTTGATATTGCTGTAAAAGTGGGGTAGAAGTTCTTGAATGCGCCATCTTACTTTGACTGTAGTTCCTTTGAGCTGCCATAAAGGAGAGTTCAGGATCACGAAGAATGTGATAGTCTGTTCGGCTCACCCCATGTTTAGCAGCACCAATAAGCAAATCCCTATCATGAAGGCCACATTCCCACCAGACTGGTAAATCTGGATTTGGATGGCAGAGCTTCAAGCGTTCAAACAACTGTGGATGTCGAAGGGCTTGTTCCCGTACTTTTCTTAGAAGTTCAATGCGATACAAAGTCCTCGAAGCACGTTCTTCTGTGATTGGTTGGATAAAAATATTTGGATCCACCAATTCTACATTGAAACAAGAACAAAAACATTAACCTCAAAAATATCTTATTAGACTTGGCTAGAGGCAAGAACGGCCTTGAGTGCAAACCCTAGAATTGGCCAAATGAAAACAAAAGCCCATCTTTATTAAGGATTTAAAACAATAAAACTTCTAAAATACAGAATCAGAATCATGGTACAATTTCCAGAATTTTCTTTTATTTTTCTTTACAAGTGCTAGACAAACACTACTATCACTGATTTATCCTCACAGCAGAATTTTTTTTAATGTGTTTGCCTAAAAAATGTTTTCTAAAAACATTACTAAAAATTATGAAATAACACTAATCTCCATAAAATATGTAAAACACATTATCTATGGGTACACTAACAGTTTTCTTAATCAGAGAATACACTTGTTTGAACTCATAAATACAAATTAGAAGAATTAAAAGACACCTAGTGAACAATCGTAATTTTGCACATTTCTTATTGTGTAGTTACTTACAGTACTGTAGTAAAATTCATAGGGGCATCTGGGAGTCTCTTAAATTTTGAGAGAAATACAAGATATCTGCCAAATAACACAAGACCTACCAGTTGGAAGTAGTTCAATTTCAACATTAGTTCATGCTACAGTAATTTGTGTGTGTGTGTGTGTGTGTGTGTTCTGGGGCTTGAACTCTGGGCCTGGGTGCTGTTGCTCAGCTCTTCAGATGAAGGCTAATGCTCTACCACTTGACCCACAGCACCACGTCCAGTTTTCTGGTAGTTTACTGGAGATAAGAGTCTCACAGACTTTCCTGTCTGGGCTGGCTTTGAATCATGATCCTCAGATCTCAGCCTCCTGAGTAGCTAGGATAACAGGCGTGAGCCACCAGCACTGGGCTTGGAATTTAGTTTCTTTAGATCTTATTTTAGTAGGAGCATTAAGAAACAAGGGATATTTAAGCATAGTTTATAATTCTTAAAATAGGGAAATTATAAATTTTAGTAACTTTTGTGACTTAAAACTAGGATAAAAAAAATTTATACATACCATCTTTGGAAGGAAGACGACAAACCCGCCGACACATCGAAACAAATGAGTACAAATATTTTTCCAAACTATCATCAGTTTTCTTGTGTAGTCGGGCCATAGCTCGAAATTTTGTCCAATCAAATCGGCCTCTGTTAGGGTCAAAAACTACTCCAAATGTAGATACAACTCTATAAAAATCAGCTTCTTCTCTTCTTGTCCATCTATTTTGAATCAGATCAAAGAAAAAGCACTTTGGTCACTGATTTATTAAAATATTTCTAGCACCTAACATTTTAAAGAGTTAAAATCAAGGTTTTGCCTTGTAAATATATTTTAGAATTCTAGTTGGCTGATCTATCCACTGTAATTTTTTGAGCACATATTTGTTGCACATTTACAGAGAAAATAAGTATAAGATAAAAAGAAGACCCTGCCTTGCAAGGAAAATAATATAATTTTGGGAACATTAATAATAACATTTCCTGTTGCATGTTTTATAGAAACAAAAAATTTTAGCAAAGTACAGAAGATGGAGGCTCAATTCATACTCTAGTAACAACAAAAACATTACAGTAGCATTTTGCAGAGTTAGATGGACAAGGCTAAGATTGGGAAAAAGCTAGGAGAAAGAATGAGCAAAGTATGGGCTGGGAAGATGGCTCAGTGGTAGAGCGCTTGCCTTGCATGCCTGAGGCCCTGAGTTCGAGTCCTCAGCACCACATAAGCAAAATGAAAAAAGCCGGAAGTGGCGCTGTGGCTCAAGTGGTAGAGCTCTAGCCTTGAGCTGAAGAGCTGAGGGACAGCGCCCAGGCCCAGAGTTCAGGCCCCACAACCGGACCCCCCCAAAAAAAATTTAAATAAAAAAAAAAAAGAATGAGCAAAGTAGTAAGCACTCTGCATTTTGACAGAGGCCAGAGAATATTCCAGATTGACAAGAATACGGCTCATACTGGGGATAAAGTGGTAGCTGGAATCAAATTATGAAATATGTATGCTAAAAATAATCTCTTTCAAATAAAATCTTATACTATAGTAAGTTATAGGCCTCTAAATCATAATATGTTCATTTATAGAACAATTTCTTTGCTCAACTCATTGAATTGCTGTCTTAATGAGTAAAAGTGTAGTGGAAAGACTTTTAAAAATGTTACTTGAGGGGCTGAGAAGGTGGCTCAGTGGTAGAGTGTTTGCTTTTCATGCATGAGGCCCTGGGTTTGATTCCTCAGCACCATATAAGCACAAAAAGCCAGAAGTGGCACTTGTGGCACAAGTGGTAGAGCACTAGCCTTGAGCTGAAGAGCTGAGGGACAGCGCCGAGGCTCACAGTTCACAACTGACCAAAAGAAAAAAAAAAGTATGTAATAAAATAGTGTTAAAAAAAAAAATGTTACTGGGGGCTGGGAAGATGGCTCAGTGGTAGAGCGCGTGCCTTGCAAGCCTGAGGCCCTGGGTTCGATTCCTCAGCACCACATAAGCAAAAAGAAAAAAGCCGGAAGTGGCGCTGTGGCTCAAGTGGTAGAGCGCTAGCCTTGAGCTGAAGAGCTCTGGCACAGCGCCCAGGCCCAGAGTTCAGGCCCCACAACTGGACTCCCCCAAAAAAAAAATGTTACTGGGCCATTTAAATCAGTCCTATATTAAAAGAAGTTTAATGTAATAATGACACAAAAACACCTGAGGAGCCAATCAAGTCATGTGAACTTTAGGCCTGGGTCTAAGAATAGAAATGAAGCTGGTTGCCGGTGGCCTATAATTGTAGCTACTCAGGAGGCTGAAAGCTGAGGATTGTGGTTCAAAGCTAGCCAGGGCAGGAAAGTCTGTGAGAGTAGTGGCACTGTGGCTCAAGTGGTAGAGTGCTCTACTTGAGCTGAATGGCTCAGGGACAGCACCCAGGCCCAGAGTTCAAGTCCCATGACTGACAAAAAGAAAAAAAAACAACAACAACACAGACTAAATATAAAACAGGACTAGTAACTATAGGGTACAACAATCTTTATCAGCTGTAGCACAATTCTGAATATTTAACTGTATGGATTTATGTGCATATATGTACAAACATTTTGCTTTGATCAATTAGCACAACACTCCTATCTGCTGGCTTTTAGAATGAGCAAATACACTTTGATACTTTATATTAAAAGTTCAATGCTATTGTCTTACCTCTGCTGCCTCTCTATCTTGGCTGCCATTTTAGGACTAAGAGTAGTTTCTTCACAAATAGGCTGAGTCACGCTGGCAGGCACTGAGAAGGTGGGTTGTATCTGCTGGATTTGTCTGTTTTTATTAGTTCGCTGATAGGCAGTGATGAGACGTCTCAGCCTTGTGGTTAATGCTGACTGAGTAGGCCAATAAATTTTATCCCCTTCCATCACTTGACCATCTGTATTAAAATAAACTCATGTCAGTAGCAATGATATATAGTACATATGTATTATATACAGATAGATGCTAATAGATACTATACAACATTTTCAAAAGTAGAAAAATTTCTCTACATTTAGAAAAAAATTTTTACCTGGGTATGCTAACTCCCACTGGTAATCTCAGCTACTTAGAAACTGAAAAATCAATAGGATCATATTTCAAAGCCGGCATGGCAAAAAAAGCTAGTGAATCTCTTATTTCAACTAACAAGCTTGGAATGGTTATATCTTGTTCCCTCCTACAGAAGACCACAGTAGTAGAATCCCAGTCCAGGACAGCCCCGAGGAGGGGAAATGAGAATTTTTCTCTACAAAAAACTTACAATAAACTTAGAACCAGTACAAGTGAGCAGAATGCAATACAAAAAAAAAAAAAATCACAGTGTTATCTAAGTTAAGGTCATCTCATATACCCAGGAAATAAAACTCTTTGATTTCAAAATCTAATTTAGCAAACCAGTTTGAAAATATTCAGTAGCCTAACTTAAATAAAAGCTGAACTGAAATTCATGAGAAATTGAATACTATAAATTTTTCCAATCCAAGCGTTCTGCATTGAATCTCCATTTAGATAAAATGAAAATACTTTTAGTTATAAGACAATGCTATGACTTTTAAGGTTTTTTTTGTTTGTTTTTTTGGGGTATGCTGGTCCTGGGGTTTGAATTCAGGGACCAGGTGCTATTGCTCAGTTTGAGGATTACAGTTACTATTCTACCATTTGAGGCACAGCTCAACTTCTGACTTTCTTGGTGATTAATTGGAGATAAAAGCCTCCTAGACTTTCCTGCTTGGGCTGGAAATCAATCTGCAATCCTAATATCTCAGCTTTCTGAGTAGCTAGGATTATAAGTGTAAGCCTAGCAATAAGGGGCCTAGCTGGCTTTTAAATTTTTAGTCACCTAATAAAGTGCAAGATCTAACTCTTTGCTTCCAATGTGTACTAAGTACTATAACAACATAAACTAGAATCAAGCTGTCCCTCTTGAGTGTCAGGAAGGGATGCTGTATCCAGCAAGTTTAGTATCAAAAGGAAGTAATAGTAGATCTCATTCAAAAAGCTGTGTACAAAATAAGTCATAGCAAATGGTTCCTAGTGTACATTTGGAAGTAATAAGAATCTGAATATACTGTACTGTTTTAATGATGAACTCTCAGATGTAATTATAAATTAAATCATTAAAGTTATCTAAATCTCTATTATATGAGATTGTAATAGCTGCAAGTATTGTTGAAATTCTTAAGTAATATGCTCTAAGAGGATTCTAACTATATTCAATTAAAAATACAGTTATATTACAAATACTATAAAAGTATATCATGAGAATATGAATTTAAAAATAAAAAAAAATACTTACCTCCATCTGCTATAACGAGATCTCCAGGTGAGGAAACATCATCCTTAAAAAAATATAGAAAGGATGAAATTTGTTACAAGGTAATTGAGATAAAAATAAGGAAAAAAAAAAGAAGGAAAACCAAATGTCAATATAATAGAGAACTTCTTTCAAAACTGAATTTATCCCCCTGTGCTATGAATCAACCCTAGGGGCTCAATCAGTTAAATATCCATGCCAGGAATAGAATTTTTAATAATTTTAGCAAAAATAAAACTTGTAATTTTGTTTTCAAGTCTCATTTTAACATTTCCCTATTATAGCTCACACTTAAAACCTGTCACTATTTACTTAAATTATTTTCTTTTCAATAATTACAATAGTCAGTTTGTTTTCCTTACCCCTATTCTGGTATTGTTTTTTTTCAGTTTCCCATAAAACAAGGCTCAGATAATTGGTAACTTGTGAATCTCTCTCTCTCTTCTCTTTTTGGTATTGGTCCTGGATGTTGAACTCAGGGCCTCAGTGCTGTCCCTGAGCTTTTGTGTTCAAGGCTAGTGCTCTACCACTTCAGCCACAGATCCACTTTCATCGTTTGGTGGTTAATTGAAAAGTCTCATGGACTTTCCTGCCTGGGCTGGATTCAACTGTAATCTTCAGATGTCAGCCTTCTAAATAACTCAAAGAATAGGCTTGAGCCATCGGCATCTACTTCCCCTAGTCTTTATTTTTGGTTGGTCGTGGGGCTTGAACTCTGGGCTTGGGCGCTGTTCCTGCACTCTTCAGCTCAAGGTGAGTGCTCTACCGCTTGAGCCACAGTGCTACTTCTGGTTTTCTAGTGGTTTTTATTGGAAATTAGAGTCTCACGGACTTTCCTACCTGGGCTAGCTTTGAACCACAATCTACAGATCTCAGCCTCCTGAGTAGCTAGGATTACAGGTGTGAGCCACCGGTGCCTGGCTTCCCCTAGTTTTTTTTTTTTTTTTAAATAACCTTTTCCTTCTTTCCTGCCCCACCCTGGTTTTAGCTTAAAATTTTTTAATAATTAAAAATTTATAGTACATTATCAGAAAATCTTTAGAATATAGTATTTTTTGTTGTATGTTAACAATTATTCATAGTACTTTATCCATACATTTAAAGTTTTTGGATATTCATTTTTATTAAGGGTTTCATTTAAACAAGCTATATAACTCCTTCAGTGTCTCCCTCTTGTTATGGTACAACATATTTTTGGCTTAAGAGATTTTTGAGCATGCATTCAAAAGAATTAAACCATAAGCTCAAGAGAAGTCAATACTGTGGCTAGAATTTCTTTTTCTTTTTTTTTTTTGGTCGGTCGTGGAGCTTGAACTTTGGGCCTGGGCGCTGTCCCTCAGCTCTTCAGCTCAAGGCGAGCGCTCTACCACTTGAGCTACAGCTGTGGCTAGAATTTCTCAGGGAGACATTCTTCTTTTCCAGCCAGAGCCCAAACTGAGAAAATATCCTTGCTGTTTTCTATCATTGTTGGAGAATATTGCCCTTTGAATGTACTACTTTCATACTTAAGGCAATTTCATTAGCCAACCACTGGTGTAAGCCCTGGCTCTTAATGTCACATGCAAGCCCTTAGCTACCCACCTAATTGAAGTATCATCTGAGTCTTATTTGTATAAGTATTTCAAATTTTATTTTGTTGTTAGTCATGGGGCTTAACCTCTGGGCCTAGGTATTGTCCTTGAGTTCTTTTGCTCAAGGCTAGTGTATACCACATTGAATCAGAGTGCCACTTCTGGTTTTCTGGTGGTTAATTGGAGAAAAGAAGAGTCTCATGGCCTTTCCTGCCTGAGCTAGCTTTGAACTGAAATTCTCAGATCTCAGCCTCTTGAGTAGGTGGGATTACCAGTGTGAGTCACCAGCGCCCCACTCAAAAATTCTTAATTTCTTTAAAGAAACTTTTCCATAGAGATTTTAGGTTTTACCCAATTTTTGTTCTTACTGAAAAGTTTATATAGTACATATATACTATATATATAGTATATTTATACATTCTATAGGGTAGTTATATAAAAAAAATTAAAATAGAGGGAAGAGACCTAGAGGAATTCCAAGCTGCTACACTATAGGTGTAAGTATAGCTGCATTCCCTATAGTTGTATACCTTTACTATTTATTTATCTCTCTGATTGGGAAATTTCTCTAGACACTGTGTTTCTTAGCTTCTTAAGTATAGCATGTGGGCAAATCCCATTTTATCTACATTTCATCTTGTCTAGGGAAGGGATCAAAACTTAGAATGAAATGGTAATTCCTCTGTACAAAACATTAATAACTAACAAACAAAACCCTCGGAATGAATTTGTTGGCTCAAGTTAATCACTGACTTAATCTTTTGAACAGAAAAATTATGTACATAGAAAACAGTTGAAGGAAAACCAGGCAAAGGAAAGCAAACAAGAAATATCTAAAATTCAGTATTTAAAAAACCTAATCCAAAACATACCTCTATATCATCTTTAAAGATGGCAGGAGCAGGTTTATATTCTGGATCTTCAACATCTCTGTTAAAATACCAACAAATGCTCTGATTATTGTAATGGAAATAGGAACATATAACAATAAAATAGTAAACAAATAAATGAAATCTCACCAAATAAAAAAATAAAAACTGAAATCTGCATGAAAGCTACACAGGGTAAATAAAGAGAAAGTTCTAATTTACTCTTATTTCAAGTTCAATTTCAATTGTGCTATTAACATAAAAGGTCTTTCGTGTTCCTTTTTTTTGTGAGATTACACAAGGCTTTATGACATGTATAATGATACCATGTTTCTCTTAAACTATAATATTGTTGTCTTTCTTTTTCTCTACTATTTTATGGTCTAAATGAAGCAATATACTTCTATTGGAGTGAAAAAATAAGACTTGTTAAAAGAACAGGTATGAGCCAGGTGCTGGTAGCTCATGCCTGTAATCCTAGCTACTTAGGAGGCTAAGATCTGAAGATTGAGGTTCAAAGCCAGTTTGGGCAGAAGAGTCCATGAGACTTTATGCCTGAAGTGGCACTGTGGCTTAAATGGTAGAGCATGAGCCTTAAGCAGAAGCAGCTCAGGAATAGCACCAAAGCCTTGTGTTCAAGCCTCAAGACTGGCAAAAGAAAGAAAGAAAGAAAGAAAGAAAGAAAGAAAGAAAGAAAGAAAGAAAGAAAGAAAGAAAGAAAGAAAGAAAGAAAGAAAGAA